AGGCCACTGCCTATTTTACTCCTGTGTCCTTCAGGAACAAAGTGGTGGGAGGTTGGGGGTATTCAAACTGAGAAAATAGTAGGGGAAGAAGATACAGGAAACCCAAGAGAATAAAGGATTCTCATTTCCCCTACTGCTTTGGCCCTTGTTCCATCTTTGCTATTTAAATGTCATCTGTTTATTGCCTGAAACCACTGAAAGACTGCACTGTGTTGCAATACATCTTACCCCAAGAAACCTAGGTATTTGGATATAGTCCTTTTGCTGTTTTTATAGAAGGAGGTACAGGGTACCAAGAATTTCTGAGACATTCTTCCCCAAGTGTCTCTTTTGCATAGGGCTCCAGATTCCTGAAGGACCCAGCTCCTTGTGGAGATACAGGTAAACTGGAGTTTCAGCATTTCGCTACCCTTCCCCACTTGGACACCAGCATCCTAATCTGCAGCTGTGCCAGATTATGACATTTCATTCTGCTCCACTCCTTACTTCCCTCTCTCCCGTAGCCACACCATGTTCCCTTTCTCCTTTACTTTGTTTTTGAGAGGAATTGATAGAATGGCCCAATTTTGTATCTGTCACTCCCATTGTCCCTCTCCCCTACTCTCCTGCAGTTCCAAAGGCATGTCCTACCACATTCACTCTAGATCTAAATTCTGAATTTTGATTTTAGTTTTGGAACTGGACTCCAGACCCCCATTGGGCTTTTTTTCCCTCATTGTTGGCTGTCTTCTGGGACTGCTGTGACTTCTCCAGCTTTACTAGACTGACTGCTCCTTTACTACTGGCTTCCCCTTTCCCTTGTCTTAGTGTCTTTATCCTTGATAAATTACACATGACAGTCTCTGCTGGGAGCTGGCACCTATGGGAAATGAAAGTATCACAAAAGTGCACTCAGTAGCAGCTATGAGATGGGCAAATGTTCAGAGCTGGACACACTGCATATTGAAGAAACTAACAGATGTGCTCTTAGAGCCATGGTAATTTTTAATAAATCATAGACAAAATGAGAGAGATACCAAGGTATTTACGACAAGTAGAATTTCTAAAAGGGGGAAAGAATGGATTCTGAAATTATTCAACAAGAAGCTTAGTATTTATCCTTGACAAAATTCTAGAATGAATGAATGATTAAATAGATGATTTGCAAATATTTAGAAAACAAATCTTGGCCCTTAGAAGGAAATGACTGAAAGTCAGTATTTGTCAGTGTTAATTTACTTAAAATGTATTATTCCAGAATGACTGCACTTTTTTTTAAGTAGGATTTTTTAAGTAGGATTACCAGATTGGTAGAATGAGTCTTACCAAGAACCGATGTGTCTCAATGATAAAGCATTTGGAAAAAAAAAATCGCCTGAAATAGCCTTTGGAGAAGATGGTAAATATGAACTACATAGGAATACTTCTAGGAGGAAGCATTGCCTGCTTTTAAGGCTTGCTCAGAGAATAATTGATAGGCCTGGCAGTTGGTAATGCGTTTTTGTGATAGAGTCAGAAAGCCCTATGTTTAAGCCTTATCCTGAAAAAAGTTATAATAATTATATTAATACATAGCAGATGGGCTTATTCGGTGTGGACGTGACAGAAAGCTAGGAGAATTAACGATACAAGGGTGTCATCACATTCAGAGCTATGGTCTCAGAGATGCACATACACATATACACACATCCTTGCATTCAAGCACATAAAAGTACGGTGGAAACATAATTAAGAATTTAGCTATCATGACTGTAAAAACAAAAAAATTAGTTAAGTTTTGAGATTATTATCCACGTATAATGATGCGTTAATGGTATAATATGGCTGCAGTCTGCCATAGTGTTTAAGAGCACTGGCTTTGAAGTCCAGTCCCCCTGGGTTTCAAATTCAGCTCTATTGCCAAGGAGCTGTCTGACTTTGACCAAGTCACATGGCCTTTTGAAGCTTCAGGTTTTCCTTTTATATAAAATGGAGATTAAAATAATAACTACTTTCAGGGGGTTGTTATAAGGACTAAATAAGAATATGAATGTAATTTTTTTAAAAAAAGAATGAAAACCCCTCAATCCTAAGCTATATGAATAATATATTTGTATATAAATCAAATTGGCCATTAATGAGGAAAATGTTGGTCAGTGATGATTACTGAATTTTAACAGGGACATTGAGTAAAGCTAGTGAATATTAAAATCGAGGTTACAGGAGGACTAAGGAGGCTGAAAGATCTGAAGGAACTATAAAGGTGAGATGAAGGGGAATGAGTCACCGTCTCCAAAGATGTAAAGAATTATCGTATAGAATAAAGTTCTCCATTGCATCTAAAACATAAATAGGACTAATGACAGTAAGTTATAAAAAGAAAACACTTTTTTTTTTTTTTTTGCTTTGAGTAGGATATTAATTAAAGGTCAAAGATTCAAAATGGTGTGTTGTGTCATGATATAATCTGTGGTCTGGGGAGGGGCATGCACATGCCTTTGTAACTAGATTGTGAGCTTTTCAGGGCCAGGGCTTGATCATTAACTCTTTATTTCATAAATAATTGCCAACAAGAATTAAGGAAGATTTGGTGAATGAAGAGTTAAATGAATGATTTATACATACATAATACATGTGAGACAATTTTATTACATGAATGTTGTAGCAATGTAGACATGGCCAGTAAAGAGAATATTGGAAGGAAAAAAAACCTCTAGACTGTGTTCAAAAATGTTTAGCAAAATGCATTTTGGATGGTATAGTTAATGGTGGATTGTATACAACTTGATTAATAAAAAGGATGTTTTAAGAGTTCCAGAAAAGTAACAAGTAGAACAGAATTCTCATCTACAAATGACGGACCTATTTTCTCACTAACACCATGGTCCCAACATTTAGCTACAGGTGCTAACATTTAATAGTTCATTATTTCTGTTGTGTGCTTCCAAAAGCCACAAAATAATGTATACACACATACACATTTATTTGTACACACACGTATCTCCTCTAATTCTCTCCTTATATCCTTAACCATTTTCTCTTGGAGGTACTTGTCATTGCCTTGTTGTGCTTATTGAGGTCACTTGGGTTGGGTACTGTGGCGTAGTCAGACTAATGATTGTATGCTTCATTCAGCAGAACAATTTTTTCATTTTCACTTATTCCATTCCCTTCAGACACTTCTCGTTTCCCCTCTGATAGTACTTGCCTCCCCATTATGCAGTGTGGTTCACTGTTGGGGCCCGTTTGAGCACAAACCAGACCTTTTGTTGAGTTACTGTACTCCTGCCTTTCTAATTATAGAATTCAGAACAGAATGAGTGAATTAACGTCATGAATGTATTCCCTGCAGTGTCTGGGGCAGTGTAATGCTGCAGCATGCTTGCAATAGCACATAAGCTCTCCCTTCACTCCTTGGCCTCCATTTTTGCCGTGTGGTTTCACAGCAGCAAGAATGGAAGGTGCACTTTACTCACCAGTGAGTAAATCATGTGAATGGATATTTTAAAGCACATGCCCTATACGCAGGTCACAGAGAGAACTATGCGTTCAAAAGCTCTCTGAGAACACATGCTTGGAATATGAAAATGTACTAACTACTGTATTTCCTCATGTATCCTAGGTGCATAGGCAACAGTTAAATGTGTGTTGTTGCATTTCGTTTCTCCAAATAATTGTTTGGTATTTGACTCTACAGCCCTTTGGGGCAAGCAAATACTTGGAGTAGTAGCACCATAGAGATATGATTCTCAATTACCAAAAGACTATAGAAGTCACTTTTCTTTTCCTGACACTGGGAAGGATTCTGATTGAAGGAAGCATTCTTTGTCCCTCTGGTCTCATGTGACAGTCTGTATCTTCAGGTCCATACAGGTTGATGCACACCGAAAAGTGGATTCAAAGCTGCCTATTCAAGACTTGGTGATTGGGGAAGATGAGGAGTTAATTTTCATTTTTGTTTATCAGCTGCCTGTTTGATTAAGGTTTTTGGTAGGAAGAGCCATCTTTCAGACATAATGCCTAGGGTAGGTTAAGGGCGAAAATTAACTCTTTGAAATACAAATGCTTCCATTAGGTTGGCAGATTTCACTAAGCTCTTTTTGGGAAGAAAATACTAAAATTCAAAAAAAGAAACATGAAAGTTATTACAAGAATGAGAAGTGTAAGGGAATGACTTTAGTAAATAATGAACTATTAACGACATATACTAAAAATATAATGTCCAGAAAAGGAGAGTGAGAACTCCATCATGTGATACTGTGGGTAACTAGGATGATTTTCAGACTAGATAATGATGAGTATTACTTTTTCTTCATAAATTACACTCACAGACGCCCCCAATCACAAGCAGAGTACTAGGCTGGAGGGACTGTGGTTCTAACCCCTCAGAGAACATTTCTTGTTAAATAGACTTCTTTCCTGTCTTCCTCTAGAAAGTCTATGAAGGCTGATACAGTTACAATACATTGGTTATTTTTGAAAGCAAAAGCAAAGTGAAAGCAATTAAAGTGTTTTCTTCTTGGGCTGTTGATTTTCAGGCTCCAAGTTTATCATGAGATATGATCCATATTACCCGTGTTATGATGTATTTTTTCCATATAATTATGATGTTCAGATGTCTGTCATTAATTCAATACTGTGTGAACCACTGTGTGTATTCAAACATTCAGCATGTTTTATCACAAAATTAGTAAATGCTTTATCTTGAATATTAGTTTTATCCTGCCCATATTGTAAGACATGTTTAAATGATGTATATATAAACAAAATTTCTGAAATAAAGTGTTAAAGAGTAGACCAATTGAAATTCATATCATACTATTCCATAATTACTTCTAACTTTTTTTTTTTTAGTATCCAAAATAAATGAAGGCCAAGGCCAAGGTTTCAGTATTCTTAAGAGGATTTTTTTTTTTGTTATTCTAGTGCCTTGTCACTATGCTGCATTTAACTGTGTGAAATAGCAGATGTGAAATAAACTATAAATGAATTATGCATTTGTTACAGATTTGTCATCTATTTTTACTGATAATTTTTTTCAGCCATTGATCTTATTAACAATTTGCTGCAAGTAAAAATGAGAAAGCGCTACAGTGTGGATAAGACCTTGAGCCACCCTTGGCTACAGGTAAACAACAATCATTGAGTTTTCTTAGTTGAATGAGCTTCTAAATATTTATAGGATTTTGATATTTAGAAATCTTTTGCAATAATTTTTAAAGTGTGATTATTCTAATATCAATTTATTTGCTCAAATGCATGCAACTTCATAGGATTTAATAACAATTTAGTGTTTCTAAACATTTTTCTCTACCAGGATAATTTGATAGAGGAGATACATGCACACATACACATACACAACCCAAAACCAAAAGGCAAAACCAAATATAAATAAATAAACCAAGGATCATAACAGACCTCAGACGACCAGATTTCAAAAGCATCTGTATGTGTAATCCTGATAAATGTACACATAGATGATGCCCATCTGGTCATGCACTGTACTCATTTAGAAGCTATATTTTTAAATGCTAGGTTATTATGTATGGAACAAATGCATGGCAAATACGAAGTATATGCATGTGCTTCTGTTCATGTAAATATTTATTATTTTCACATTGAATTTAAAGTTTAGAAAACTAATACTCTGAAATACTGAAGGATTATTTGTAGGCATTACATTTCAAAGGAATACCGACATTCCTGGTTGCTTGACTACAAACATTAATTGCCTACTCTTTGATCCATGGTATCATATAAACAGTATGTATTTGCAAAGGTTAGGCAAATAGGATGGCTTTGGTGCCGACGCTGTCGCTTGAGGATGCGTGATGAAAGATTCAGCGCTGTTACAGTGGAAAGAAAAGGGTAACTCATAGATTGCAGAAACTGACATCATATGACACAGCATGTTGAGTCATAATGATCTCTATGGTAATATTTTGGAATTTCCTCTTCAGGACTATCAGACCTGGTTAGATTTGCGAGAGCTGGAATGCAAAATCGGGGAGCGCTATATCACCCATGAAAGCGATGACCTGAGGTGGGAGCAGTACGCAGGCGAGCAGGGGCTGCAGTACCCCACACACCTGATCAATCCAAGTGCTAGCCACAGTGACAGTCCTGAGACTGAAGAAACAGAAATGAAAGCCCTCGGTGAGCGTGTCAGCATCCTCTGAGTTCCATCTTCTATAATCTGTCAAAACACTGTGGAACTAATAAATACATACGGTCAGGTTTAACATTTGCCTTGCAGAACTGCCATTATTTTCTGTCAGATGAGAACAAAGCTGTTAAACTGTTAGCACTGTTGATGTATCTGAGTTGCCAAGACAAATCAACAGAAGCATTTGTATTTTGTGTGACCAACTGTGTTGTATTAACAAAAGTTCCCTGAAACACGAAACTTGTTATTGTGAATGATTCATGTTATATTTAATGCATTAAACCTGTCCCCACTGTGCCTTTGCAAATCAGTGTTTTTCTTACTGGAGCCTCATTTTGGTAAGAGACAGAACGTATCTGTGAAGTAGTTCTGTTAGGTTTGTCCCATTGGTGTTGTCATTGTAAACAAACTCTTGAAGAGTCGATTATTTCCAGTGTTCTATGAACAACTCCAAAACTCGTGGAAAAAAAATGAATGAGGAGGGTAGGGAATAAAATCCTAAGACACAAATGCATGAACAAGTTTTTAATGTATAGTTTTGAATTCTTTGCCTGCCTCGTGTGCCTCAGTATATTTAAACTCAAGACAATGCACCTTGGTGTGCAAGACTTAGTGCTCTTAAGCCTAAATGCCTTAGAAATGTAAACTGCCATATATAACAGATACATTTCCCTCTTTCTTGTAATACTCTGTTGTACTATGGAAAATCAGCTGCTCAGCAACCTTTCACCTTTGTGTATTTTTCAATAATAAAAAATATTCTTGTCAAGATATGTGTCCACCTGATTGAATTATTTTCATTCATAGTTCACACTAGGGTTTTCAGGCCAACTAGGAGCAGAAGTGTCTGCTCAAAGAGCAGGAAAAAAACTCTAGTCTAGAATGTAGTTTTATGTACTCTGAAGCAGTAAACGTATGTTTCAAAGGGGAGTGAAGCTTTCCTGTCTTGCATGTGGTTTAATTTCTAATAGAAGGGAAAGCTTTCAAAGCGAAAAGTGACCAAAGCCAAACCGAGTGCTTGGAGGCGTAGGTAGGATGACTCTGAGTAGTTGGAATATTGCAAATAGCATCTTAATGTAGCTTCCTGATTTAGTCAATATAAGCTAGAGATTTATTAGAATATCAGATCTGATTTCTTTTCATATTATCTAAAGATGGTTCTGAGGTGAACCAAAAAAGCATGTAAAGACTAGAAAGTAATCCCTAAACAGAAAGACATCTCAAGTGAAGTTCTATAGCCTGGAGAAGACTAATTGGACCTAACAGATTTTAGGTATATAATGTGAATAATGTGGGTTGTTTTCCTTAGTAGCAGGATGGGAATAGCATACTATGTAACAGAAAAAAAAAAAAAAAAACTGTAATTAATGTTTGGAAGAATGTTACAAGAGTTGTGAAATACTCAAATATATTAGATAAGTATGTTAAGACTGTACTCTTTCCACTTGGAGGAATGAGGGGACAATAGATTATCTTTCCAGTGATTAGTCTCTGTTTTGTATTTTTATTGAACTTTAACAAGTATAAAAATTTAAAAGTTCTTTAATCTGCTTTTCTCCAGGGGTAGGGTGTGTGTGTGTACGTGTGCTCACGCATGCACAAGTGAATTTGCATACACAAGCATACATACATGTACCATCAACTTGAAAGAATAGAGTGTTAATCAGTAAGACAATAACTGTCTTGCCAACCTAGGAATATAACTGACACCTTTTCTATGACACCTTTTCTAAGCAATTTCAGGAAAATGGAAAAGGAGTGGAAGCATATAAATTTCTTCCCTCTTCAAATGGGCATAATATAAATTAGAGGCTTATTGTTTGAATTATAATTTATATAGTTTATATGCCTATGTTTCATCAGCTGCAATATAAAATGTAATCAATAACTTTTCTTGCTTGGTATGGGATTCTAAAAAGATTATAGGAAAAGAAACTATGATAATGTTATCCATATAGTATAAAATATCCTAGAATCCTTGATGATTGGCAAGAGTAACAAAATATTACTGTACATTATAAAACCACACAGAAGTCAGTTATCCATGCAGCAAAAAATTATTTCGCATCTGTTCTACACAACTCTTTGCTAGATTCTAAGATTTTGAAATGTGAATAAGACATGGTCCCTGCACAAAATAAATTTATTAGATAGACCTGAATAAACAAATTGTTGGTGCTTTTAGAAAATGAGAGGTAAAGGTATAAGGCATCATGGAGAACAGTTAATAATGGAGGAAGAAAGCAACAGAATGATGTGTTTGAGCAGAACTAGAAAAAATTATAGGAATATACCTGGCTGAAAGTAGGAGAAAACAGCATGAATGAAGAAATGAGGGTCCAAAGAGGACTGTTACAAAGACAAAACTACTCTTTATAACAGAAGAATAAAGGTAAGGAAGAACTGAAGAAGTCCATCCAGTAGAAATGGGTGATGAACTTGATCTGGAGGCTCTTGTGTGTTATTCTGGGTGTTTGGGATTTATTCTGTGTAAATCTCAGGAAACCAGCATTGTTTAATCTGAAAGGAACTATTAATCAGAAGTTAGAGATTTAGAAGGAGTGAGTTCTCATTTTAACATTTGCATATGAAGTTCCTATAGGACACCCAAGTTTGAAATGTTCTAAAAGTAGTTAGATATGAGTCTGGGGTTTAAGAAATCTGGAATTGAAGATAGGGATTTGAAGGTCAACAGCCCACAACATGTTAATGGGAATGACTCATCCCTGGGGGAAAATAAATATAATGATAGGAAAGTGGTCTTAGGGCACAAACCTGAGAAGTATTGATATGGAAGGATCAGTCAGAATAAGAGAACTGAAAAGGAATTTTCAGAGGTAGAATGAAATGGAGTAATATTACAGAAACCAAGAGAAGAAATGCTTTCAAGGATTAAGTTGGTAACAGTAGAACATGTTATGGCAAGACCATGGTTTTAGCCTTTTGGGGGGCACCCTTACAAACTATTTCAGCAGTTGGTAGTGAACAGGACTTTCCTGCTGCATTCAGAGTAGCTATGTCAAAAGAATCTCTGTGTGGCAATGATACTGACACCACCTATACTGCAGTGTCATCAAGCAAAGGAATGAGAAAAGAACTGCCAATGTCAAGGGAAAAAGTGGGCCACTAACAGTCATGCTGCTTTCCACCACCAGCAATATTAGTGAAGTTGCAAAGACTCCAATTGTAGTAAATCAGCAACCACTTTTGTACTAAATACCAGCAATAAGTTTGCCCACTTCACATCCGTGGTATGTTATAATAAATAACATGGACAGGTGAGTAGCTTATATTTAATACAAGATGCAGATTAGCATTTTTGGTGCAGAAAAGGTATCTTTTATCATTATGACAAAAGTAAAAGAAGTGACAAACTCATTTGAGGAAAGATGTGTTCTCTATTATTGTCACAGAGGTAATATTTCCTCAAACAACAGTATTGTCAGCTCACCCAAGTTGCTATGAAAATTGCTAGTCTCTATGTATCCAGAACCATTAGAGCAAACTACCACGGTTCTTGCTTTTGGCCTGAGCAAGGGGACAGCCCTGAGAGAAATGTTTTTATCAGTGATGCTTTTTATATGTCCATTATCCCTAAGGAAGAAATAATCATTGAGTTTAGTGAGTACCCACTCTGATGGAGACAATTTTGAGAAATATATGGTCAGCTGTTTCATTGAATGTATATAATAAGTACAGTGATTAAAATAAGAAAGCCATCTGTCCCCTGCTCTCTTCATTCATTATCCAATCAATATTCAGTTTGATGACCTTCATAAAGTAATTAAATTTTGCATACCCTTTGGTTAGGCCCATCTTAAGGAACCAAATACTAGTTGATCTGAAGACACATTAAGGCCCATGGAGAAGGGTCTGCTGCCTTTAATTGCCAAAAGGTAGCACACTCTTTCATCTCTGATCTTTCCACACTGCCTGAAGCATTGTTCTCTCTGCCCCCTCCCTTAATAATTAATTAATAATTAATTATCCCTAATTATTAATAGGCATAATTAATGCCTATTAATCCTTTTGCCATTTATTTGCCTTATGTCTCCTGTCTTTTCTGTTCCCCTGCTCCTCTTTAACTGCCTCTTTTGTGCTAGATACATATTTTTAGTGTAGCATTTTAATTCCTTTGTTGAATTTTTATCATTTGTTTTAGTTATTTTCTTGATGATTCCTCTAGGGATTATAATATGCATATTTACTTATCACTACTTCACATTAATGCTAACTTAATTCCAGTTAAATATACAAACTTTGCTCCGGTATAGCTCCATTCCCACCACTCTTCTTTGTGATATTATTGTCATAGATATTACAGTTGTATGTGTTGAAACCACTTTGTAATATTGTTTTATGCAATTATTCTTTAAATCAGTTAAGAGAAGAAAGGAGAAAATATTTTTTCCTTTACATTTACTTACCTTTTCCATTGTTCTTTATTTTTTCATGTAGATTAAAGGTATTATCTATTGAGCGTCATTTCTATTCTTCCTGAATATCTTTCTTTAGCATTTCTTTGAGGCAGGTCTGCTAACAACAAATGCCCAGTCTTTGTATATCTGGCAATGTTTTTATTTCACCTCTGTTTTTGAAGTAAAATTTTGCTGGGTATAAAATTATTCATTGACAGATGTTTTTCCCCTCGGTATTTTAAATATGTCATCCTGCCACCTTTTAACCTCTATTATCTCTCATAAAAGATCACCTTTAATCTTATTGTGGTTTCCTCACATGTGATGAATTGCTTTTCTCTCACTGCTTTCAATATTTTCTCTCTGTCTTGCAACAGTTTAACTATGATGTGTCTAGTCTAGGTGTTTTGGTTTGTTTGTTTCCTTTTTTTTTTTCCCAATTAGCCTACTTGGGTTTGTTGCAATTCTTAATGTGTAGATAAATAGCTTTCCATCCAACTTGAGAAAAATTAGGCCGTTATTTCTTCAAAGACTTTTCTCTCCCTTTTTATCTTCTCTGTCTGGGACTCCCATTACATATACATTGGAATGCTTTGGTAAGTGGCAAAGGTTTCTGAGGCTCCATTCATTTTTCTTCATTCTTTTTCCTTCTGATCTTCAGATTGGATAATCTATATTGATGTATCTTCAGCTTCATTGATTCTTCCTTCTACCAGAACAAATCTGCTGTTAAGTACCTCTGGTAACTTTTTCTTTCTTTGGTTCTATTTTATTATGAAATACACTTATCTTTTTTTAGAAATATTTTATATTGACTGAGTCACTGTTATTATACTTTCCTTTAATTCTTTAAATGTGTTCTCCCAAGTCTTTAAAGCATATTTTTAATAGCTGCTCTGAAGTCTGTCTATTAGCTCCAACATTTGAGTCTTCTCCCTCTCTTTTCCACCTCATCAGAGACAATTTCCATTGAAATCCCCAAAGTGTGATGTATGCATTCACACGTTGCTCTTGCTTCTTCATGTCTTGTTGAAAACTGGATATTTTACATAATGTATCATAGCAACTCTGTATTGTGATCCATCCCCCCCACCCCCCGCCTCCACAGTAGCTGTTGCTGTTGCTATTTGTTTGTTTAGTAACTTTCCAAAATTAATTCTAGAATCTATCTTCCCCATACTTGGCAGCTGCTGATGTCTCTAGTGGGTGTTTTGTTTTTTTAATTTTTTGTTGTTGTTGTTGTTTTTATTTTTAAGTCTGGCTGCCTAGGAGCCATGTCTATAACAGAATAGCTTAGTGATCAAACAATAATAATTCAGACATCGTGTTTAAGTGCCTTGAACCAATAAAG